GTCAAGTGGGACTAGAACCCTGGCCTCCCTAGTGTGATGGTCTAACCACTACAGCAAACTGGCTGTAACAGTAGAGGTGAGGAAAGAGTCCAGCTGAGATCCCAAATAACCTTCTCTGGCCAGCACAGACATCATCATCATCATCATCATCATTTTATATGTACAGTGGTACCTCGGGTTACAGATGCTTCAGGTTACAGATGCTTCAGGTTACAGACTCTGCTAACCCAGAATTAGTACCTCGGGTTAAGAACTTTGCTTCAGGATGAGAACAGAAATTGTGCGGTGGTGGCACAGCGGCAGCAGGAGGCCCCATTAGCTAAAGTGGTGTCTCAGGTTAAGGACAGTTTCAGGTTAAGAACGGACCTCCAGAACGAATTAAGTTCTTAACCCGAGGTACCACTGTATACCGCCTTTCCATAGTTAAAACAATGCTCAAGGTGGCTTACAATATGAAAAGATTTACATAGTAACAAACATAGACAGTCCTGGGTAAAAGGTATAAGTCAGTGTCTTATATCTGGCCAGCTGTCAGCTGTTAATAAGAAATGCCCCAATGTTTGTGGATACAGTGATTTCACATGAAAACATGCAAGATTGTGATTCCTATAACCATTTTACTGTTGGGACTGATAAATCACAGGAAACATGACTCTTGCAGAAAGCTCTCTGCAAGAGAGCTCTAGACTCTTTTTTCAATAATTAATCACACCATCAAACTTGAAATACAATATCTGTCTAGGGGCGTGTAATGTTTGCAAACAAGTGTAATTAAAAGTTAATAAGATTCAATTATATAGGGTGATGGGTGCATAATAACCTACACAACCAGAGCTTTATTAGTTGGGATGTGCATTGTGTATCCGGTTCTGTTACTGAAAGGTGGCATAATGGAGAGGGGGACTGGAGTGGGGAGGCAGGGGAAAAAAGACGAGAGACTCTACAGGAAGGATAATACATGCTTCTACGGGAGCGATGCAAATTGCAAAGCACTTTGCTGTGAAACAAGGTTATTGTTTCTTTCTGGGTTATTCCCCAACACATTGCAAAGGCAGGAGATGCATCTCCAACTGGTCATCTCAGGTACAAGAAAGAGATGCCTCTGCAGTGGAAAATATCTGAACAGCAAGAACCAAGTTTTTCCTTAAATTACCTGCTGGGTAATCTCAAAGTGATTTCCAGAAACGAAAGTGCCAAAAATAGATAGCATTCATGCAATATTTACCTTGCTGTTCAATAGCCAAGTGCAAGGGGAATCTCTGGGTCTCTCTCCATAAGTGACCCAAAGGATGAAGACTCTACACCAGTGGTAGCCAATGTGGTGCCCTTCAGATGTTGTTGGACTAAAACTCCCACCATCCCTAAACGTTGGCCATGCCATTTGATGGGAGCTTTAGTCCAACTGAATAGGACCAGAGCAGCCTCCCCAAACCTGGTGCCTTCTAGATTTTTGGACTACAACTCCCATCAGTCCCTTCCAGCCTGGTCACATTGTCTGGAGCTGATGGGATTTGTAGGTCAAAGTAACTGAAGGCTGCCAGGTTGCAGAAGGCTGGGCTACAGTGTCACTCCTGCCAATCAGAGCTGCCTTTTGGAAAGGCTGATTGGGCAGGCCTGTAAGTGAGAACATGCCCTCTGTTGGCAGCTTCTTGGTTATGATTGTTTAGTTGTTTAGTCGTGTCCAACTCTTCGTGACCCCATGGATCAGAGCACGCCAGGCACTCCTGTCTTCCACTGCCTCCCGCAGTTTGGTCAAACTCATGCTGGTAGCTTCGAGAACACTATCCAACCATCTCGTCCTCTGTCGTCCCCTTCTCCTTGTGCCCTCCATCTTTCCCAGGGAAATCTTTTTCCAGGGAGTCTTCTCTTCTCATGAGGTGGCCAAAGTATTGGAGCCTCAGCTTCATGATCCGTCCTTCCAGTGAGCACTCAGGGCTGATTTCCTTCAGAATGGAGAGGTTTGATCTTCTTGCAGTCCATGGGACTCTCAAGAGTCTCCAGCACCATAATTCAAAAGCATCAATTCTTCACCGATCAGCCTTCTTTATGGTCCAGCTCTCACTTCCATACATCACTACTGGGAAAACCATAGCTTTAACCATGGCAAGGTGATGTCTCTGCTTTTTAAGATGCTGTCTAGGTTATGATTATTGGGTGGCAATTTTAAGCTCACTTAAATGTAAAGGTAAAGGGACCCCAACCATTAGGTCCAGTCGCGGACGACTCTGGGGTTGCGGCGCTCATCTCGCTTTATTGGCCAAGGGAGCCGGCGTACAGCTTCTGGGTCATGTGGCCAGCATGACTAAGCCACTTCTGGCGAACCAGAGCAGGTGACCTTCTGATCGGTAAGCCCTAGGCTCTGTGGTTCAGACCACAGCACCACCCACGCCCCTCATTTACCTGGGAGTAAACCCCATTGAACTGAAGACTTCCTTCTGAACAGACATGGTTAGTAGGGGGAGAATTTGGTCTTTCAAATTCCAGTGGCACCCTGTGTGATGCCAAAATTCAGCACCCTCCTGCCTCTTGCCTTCCATTCTGCTCAATTCACTATGTCACAGTTGCGGCACCCAGTGGCACCCCCTAGGCTTGGCGTTCGGTGCAGCGGAACTAGTTGCACTGCCCTAAATTGCCTCTGTGGGTAGGATTGCCTCTGTGAGTAGCTATTGGAGCAAAGGAGGCTAGTTCATCCACTCCCTTCCCAGATTGCCCCACAAACTGAAACTTCTTTCTTTCTCTTCAGCACTTTTGGGCACCGTTTCTCATTTCATGGCCGGCCAGCCCCATTAATTAGTGGCCACATTTCATGCTTTTTCCTTCTGTTCCCTACGATACCCTTGTAAGAAGTTCTTTCCCCATTCCTCTTCACTCTTCTGACAACTGAAACATTCACGGGTTTCCTTCCGCTCCCCTTCTCTCTGATTCCCCACTGAGCCTTAAATGGTTTTGCATTTTTGTTTAATTTCTTTCTTGCCATTCTCCGTGCTGGCTACGGTTTCTCCCTCCCTCACCCACCCGCCTTTAACCTCAGATCTCTGAGCAGTCCCTTGTGAAATTGCTGTAATTGTTGCATATTAAAAAACTTATTCATGCATACTTATTAGTCATGCAAATTTATTCATACATGACTTCAAGGGGGATTCACGGGGTGCCAATCTGGAAACGATCCACTGGGAGTTTTGCTGGAGCATAACAAGCTGGAATGGGATTGAGCCCAAGTATCCATGGATGCAAAGCCTGGAGCTGTGCAAAGGTCAACGTAAAGGTTAAGGTTGCATCGCCCTGCAAAATTTGGAGTTGAACATTTTTTTTTGCTTCCAGAGGAACACAACCTAAGGCATCAACCTAAGATCGTAAGTGGCGTGAACATTAACTCCCCATCTTTAATTAGCCCACTCCACTAATTAATGAGTTAATATTGATACAGTACTTTGAAGATGTCACACATTCCAGAAGTGCATGCATTTTCTTCCTCTACTGGAAGAAGTCTGTGGCTCCCTGCGTGGGCATCCAGCGAGCTTCCGGAATTAATTAATGAGAGGTTTGCATAGTTGATAGTCTGAAATAGCTTCTCCCCTAGTTAAGGGGAAATGATGATGCTGATGGTGATGAAAGTGGAGTGATAGATGCTGATCCTGGCAATCCTTTCAGATACCAGGTGAAAACATTTCTGTTTACCAGGGCATTTTAACTTGCTCATAGAATCATAGAACTGTATAGTTGGAAGAGACCCTGAAGATAACCTAGTCCTGATTATCATCTTCCAAAGCAACTACTCTGCTCCAAACTTAAAAAATGGAAAGCGTAATGCTGGTAGTCAACAAAAGAGGTTCAAAGACTCTATCAAGGCAAATCTTAAAAAATGTAGTACAAACACCAACAACTGGGAAATACTGGCCTGTGAGTGTTCCAACTGGAGAACAGCCTTTAGTGAAGGTGTCATGGGCTTTGAAGACACTCGAACTCAGGATGAAAGGGAGAAACACGCTAAGAGGAAGGCATGCTTGGCAAACCCTCACCATTATCAACTCCCACCCAGAAATCTATGTCCCCACTGTGGAAGGACATGTGGATCCAGAATTGGCCTCCACAGTCACTTATGGACTCATTGTTAAAACTGTGTTTATGGAAGACAATCTTACTTGGCTACAAGTGATTGCTGAAGAAGAAGAAGAAGAAGAAGAAGACTCCAACAGTCACACCACTTGAAGGGCTGTCTGATCCAAGCCTGGTCTAACAATAAAAGCTCTCAAGAAAGGATGGAGACAATCTTACTCGGCTATGAGTGATTACCAAAGAAGAAGAATGCAGAAATATGCAGCTGTCCCATATGGGGATCGAACCTGCAACCATGTTGTTATCAGCACCATGCTCTAACCAGCTAAGTTACCCATTGTCTTTGTTCTACAATACCACAGCTATCTGAGTATAACTTTTGAGCTAATATGAAGTATAGAGAGAAATTAGATTCACTTCACAGTTAAAGGTGAAGCTATGTAGCACACATTTTCCAAAACAATATACGAAGCAAAATACAGTTATCATTCAAAATCTGGACATCTCCGAATTTTGCAATGCAGGTAATGTGTACAAAATTGCATGTACTAGGGTAATGTCTGCATAAAAATATACACAATGAAAATAACATACAAAATGCATTATGTTCAGGGAAATTGCTTGCTTAAGGAAAATTACATAGAACGTGTTTATTAAGAGAAATTGCTTTTTTAAAAAAATCAAACTGTTAGGAAAACATTGGAGAACTCAATTTAAGAATGGGGGGAAAGGGGAATGGGGAGAAACTCAAACTGGCCATTTGTCCCCATCTCCAGAGTAGTTGTTATTTTACTTTATTGGACACTTTTAAACCAAGGTAACGCTAAGCAATTTATACTAAAAACAAGCAAGCAAGCAGATGCAAAAAAGGTGGAATCATAGAATTGTACAGTTGGAAGAGACTACGAGGGTCATCTTGTCCAAACCCCTACAATGCAGGAAACTTTTGCCTAATGTGGGGCTCGAACCCATGACCTTGAGATTAAGAGTCTCAAGCTCTACCAACTGAACTGGGATAAAAGAAAACAAGGGGAAAGCTAAGACAGTTGTTTTTTAAAAGCTGGGTTAAAACACCTCCCTGATTCACAGAGTCCATGGATAATTAAAAGCCAAAGGCTTGGTGAAAAAGGAATGTTTCAGCCTGGTGCCTAAAGATATGCAATGATGGAACTAGGCGAGCCTCCCTGGGGAGAGCATTCCATAAACAAGGAGCCACCACTGAAAAGGACCTGTTCTCATGTTGCCACCCTCTGGTCCAGGGCGCACATGGAGGGCCTCAGATGACAGGATCTGGGTTTGTTTTTATGGGGAGAAGAGGCAGTCCTTGAGGCATTGTGGTCTTCAGCTTCATAAGGCTTTATAAGTCCAAACCAGCACTTCACACTGGGCCTGGGAACTAATTGGTTGTTGTTGTTTAGTCATTTAGTCGTGTCTGACTCTTCGTGACCCCATGGACCAGAGCACGCCAGGCACTCCTATCTTCCACTGCCTCCCGCAGTTTGGTCAAACTCATGCTGGTTGCTTCAAGAACACTATCCAACCAGCCCTTCAGAATGGATAGGTTTGATCTTCTTGCAGTCCATGGGACTCTCAAGAGTCTCCTACAGCACCATAATTCAAAAGCATCAATTCTTCGGCAATCAGCCTTCTTTATGGTCCAGCTCTCACTTCCATACTAATTGGTAGCTAGTGCTTTTGGACCCTTATTGGTCAGATCATCATATCCCAATGAACCTCCCATATGAACAACATGGCTGCTGAATTCTGCAGCAGCTGCAGTTTCCAAACCATCTTTAAAGGCAGCATAGTACTGTATAAGAACACATAGTATTGTATAACATATGCATAGTCTCTTCTCCAGGCTAAATATTCCTTCAACTATTCTTCATAGGGCATTTTTAAAGAGCTGGTTGAGGTGTGCCCATGGTCCATGGAATGCCCAATGTGATATTTTAAAGGTAAAGGGACCCCTGACCATTAGGTCCAGTCATGACTGACTCTGGGGTTGCGGCGCTCATCTCGCTTTATTGGCTGAGGGAGCCGGTGTACAGCTTCTGGGTCATGTGGCCAGCGTGAATAAGCCACTTCTGGCGAACCAGAGCAGCGCACAGAAATGCTGTTTACCTTCCTGCTGGAGCGGTACCTATTTATCTATTTGCACTGGTGTGCTTTCGAACTGCTAGGTTGGCAGGAGCTGGGACCGAGCAACGGGAGCTCACCCCGTTGGGGGACCTTCTGATCGGCAAGTCCTAGGCTCAGTGGTTTAACCCACAGCGCCACCCGCGTCCCTATGTCATATTTTACTCCCCCTGCTTTGAAGCAGCGAGCCTTCTTGCCACAGTACAAACAGCTTTTGGAAGCCAAAAGCAATTTGCCACATTGCCCGGGGGGACTGGTGTCTGAGAAACACATGTCCAAAGCTTCCTTGGACACCCAGAACTAGACCAACAATTCTTTTCATCCCAGCGTCTGTGTCTCATGTTCCATAGCAGGCTTCTGGCAGCAACCTGCCTTTCGTGACTTTGAAACAATGCTGGGATTGGTTTTGTGTTTTGCCTGTGAGTTGGGGAAAGAGTAGACCCGTCTTACTGTCAGCCTAATACTGTAGAGCAGCGATATACAGTTCCCCTGCAGAGTGTATTTTCAATATTGACGTTCTTGCTGTGCATTAAGTACCACGTGTCGTGCGTGTGTATGTGTTGGGGGGTGTTAAGATGTTTAGGAAGATGAGACGATTAAAATGATTAGAGTCAATTTGCTCAAAGCGTCACCAAGATGCTGCCAAGCCATTGGTAGGAGGGATCATGTGTGATTGTTGTGTGTGTGTCTCAAATACAATTATTAGATTAAAACACTTTGCTCCAGGGAATTTGCCACAAAGGCCGTTTGGTTGCAGCAGTCATCATTTTTCTGCAAGGCATTCTCCTTTTATGGTTATAAGGGGGCGACAATCATTTACATTCCAAGCATTACAGGCCTTTTATCATTTTAAAGATGAGAAATTAATTGCTGCCAATGATAAACAGTGACTGAAGGCGGGAAGAAAAGAAAACATTGGCAAACATGCCACGTCTGGTAGGGAACTGAGACTGCAACAGGTTTCAAATTTATTTTGATTACAAATGTTCTTTTTTTCATATTTTCAGAGACGGAGAGGATGGAGTTTTTGTTATGATTTGGAGGACTCTCTGTTTCTCCTGCTGTTGATTTTTTTGTAAATATAAAAATTTATGTGCAGTGTTTGAAGTGTTTTTCAGCCATTCTCCCTGATCTAGAGTAGGGGGAGGAGACCTCATACTTGCATTATGGGGGTTGGACTAGATGACCCTTGGCTCCATTCCATCTCTACGATTCTATGATTCTATGGATAGAGGATTGAGAGGTTCATGTGAGTTTGCTTAGAAACTAGCCTAGGGATGGCGGAATCTCTCCATTTCTGTTTCAGGCAGGACTCATCTGGGTTGCTTAAATTATTTGTTGCTTAGTCGTGTCCGACTCTTCGTGACCCCATGGACCAGAGCACGCCAGGCACTTCTGTCTTCCACTGCCTCCTGCAGTTTGGTCAAACTCATGCTGGTAGCTTCGAGAACACTATCCAACCATCTCGTCCTCTGTCGTCCCCTTCTCCTTGTGCCCTCCATCTTTCCCAACATCAGGGTCTTTTCCAGGGAGTCTTCTCTTCTCATGAGGTGGCCAAAGTACAGGAGCCTCAGCTTCAGGATCTGTCCTTCCAGTGAGCACTCAGGGCTGATTTCCTTCAGAATGGATAGGTTTGATCTTCTTGCAGTCCATGAGACTCTCAAGAGTCTCCTCCAGCACCATAATTCAAAAGCATCCATTCTTCAGCGATCAGCCTTCTTTATGGTCCATCTCTCACTTCCGTACATCACTACTGGGAAAACCATAGCTTTAACTATACGGACCTTTGTTGGCAAGGTGATGTCTCTGCTTTTTTAAATTATAGGAAGCTCAATTTCCTTTGAAGATTAGGAGAAACTCCTTGACAGTAATAGCAATTTGACAATGTAACCAATTACATAGATGGGTGGTTGGCTGGTTGGCATCTGTCTGTCTCGGGAGCCAATGGAGAAGTGCACCTTCGTGGGTGTAGTCATACTGCTGGACAGTTACAGTGCTTGCTGTGGCTGTAGAGACCAATATGGGAGAGACATGTTTTGTTGCAGCTGGGACAGATAAAGGTGTCCATTTGTGCTGATGCAAGTATACCATGGCGTTTCTTCTTTCTGTGCTCTTACCAGTGGTCATTCCTCCTCTGGTCACTGCTATGGATATGTGATCTGACTGTCTCTAGGCACTGCAGTCATCTACAAGGGATCCCCACAGGGTAGGGTTAATGTTGCCAGCCTTCATGTCACGCTTGCATACATCTTTGTAACGCAGAGTTGGTCTGCCAACAGGCCTGGTGCCTGAAGCCAGCTCCCTATAGAGCACATCCTTGGGGATCCTGCCATCTTCCATTCTGTGGACATGACCAAGCGAGGGTTGGCATTGCTGAGACAGAAAGTTTGCAAGTCTGGATAGCCCTCTCTCGGGGAAGCCCTAGCCCTAGATCTGTGATTATTCTCTGGATCTTGGGCAAACTAAAGAAGGTGCTATCTGAGTCAACTGAGCCTCATGGGTAATCCACCAGAGGATGCAACAAATGCTCATGTTTTGGAAGAGTATGTTGCATGACCACAGATCTGAATAAGCTGTCCTCAACCTAGCAACAGGTTTTCAAACAGTGAATCTGGGTGTGGGTGTGTGATTTTTGTGGAAGAAGTGCCAATAGTTTGTTATTCTTTCTAAACAACCCATCATGACTTGTACCTTCAATCAGTTTCGTAGCTAAAATTAAAACTCATTCTCAAACCTCTCTTTTGGCAACCAAGGAAAGCAAGCAGTCTCAGACTTAGGTATATTTCTGGACTGTCACCATGACAATGAAGAACTTGCTCTTCTCCTTTGCCTTCTGATCAACCTTAAATAATCTGGAAGCTTGGAAAGGAACTGTGAAGGATGCTGTTTGCTTCAGAGAGGGAGCAATGGGAAATAAACCTGGGATCGAAATAAACATATACAATCATGTTTTGAATGGGGCTCTCCCTTTTCCCGCTTGTGGATGCATCCTTTGGAAATGAATAAAACCCACCTTTCAGTGCTATTTGCTTTCCCATTTGGCTGGCTAATTTGTCTGTATTCCTCCTCCTCACAGAATCACAGATTTGTAGAGTTGGAATGGACCCACGGGATCATCTAGTCCAACCCCCCACAATACAGAAATCTTTCACCCAACATGGGGCTCAAACACACGACCGTGAGATTAAGGGTTTTATGCTCTACCGACTGAACTATCTCCAAGGACTATCCTCCTCCTCTTCCTCCTCCTCCTCTATATTTATAAGTTACTCTTCATCAAAGGTATTGGAGTGGTAGATAAATATAACCCCAAATGGTCAGTGAACCATAAAATACAAGAAACCAGTACAATACCATCTTGGCTGTGAGTCTTGGGTGGCCTGCTCCCTGCCTTGCAAGCTTCTTCCACCTGGCCCAGGAGGGAATAGTCCAGATTTACTCCAGCTATAAAAGCTGAGGTACCTGAACAAACTCTTGGATTGGAAGGTATTGTTTATCAGATCTTGTTGCTATTATTATTACCCTGAAAGTTTAAAATTGTTTTAAACTGCGTTTTAGCTCAAATGTTTTAAGTCTTTCGGTCCCAGCTCCTGCCCACCTAGCAGTTCGAAAGCACCCTTAAAAAGTGCAAGTAGATAAATACGTACCGCTTTATAGCGGGAAGGTAAACGGCGTTTCCGTGTGCTGCGCTGGTGCCGGCTCACCAGAGCAGCTTCGTCACCCTTGCCACATGACCCGGAAGTGTCTCTGGACAGCGCTGGCCCCCGGCCTCTTAAGCGAGATGGGCGCGCAACCCCAGAGTCGGACACGACTGGCCCGTACGGGCAGGGGTACCTTTACCTTTTTTTAAGTTCAAAGTTTTTGTTGCTGTTTTAACCAGGCAGAGGGCCTTCTCGGTAGTGGCGCCCATGCTGTGGAACGCCCTCCCATCAGATGTCAAGGAATTAAACAGCTGTCTGACTTTTAGAAGACATCTGAAAGCAACCCTGTTTAGGGAAGTTTTTTAAATGTTTTATGTTTTATCGTGCTTTTAATATTCTGTTGAGAGCCGCCCAAAGTGGCTGGGGAAACCCAGCCAGATGAGTGGAGTAGAAATAATAATTTTTATTAGATTATTATTATTACTTGAAAGACTTAGGATGTGCCTGGAGGGATAGCTAGGGGAAGCATGGCAGAGGCCCACTCACAGTGCTTCAGGGTAGGGGGAAGTTGGGTGTGGGAAGTGGGTCAGGCTGTGTTAGGGGCACATGACATAGGCAGTTAGTGACTGTGCCATGTGTCAGCTGCTCCTCCAACCTGGGGAATTGCAGTTGTCCTATCAGTCAGCTCTTGGGTCTGTGGCTGCTGTTGCTGAATGGCAGGTTAACTCTAAGTAAGACCTCCCTCATCCATGATCTGATTATGGATGAGGAGGCTGATCGAGTCTGTAGCACTGAAACCTGGGTAGGTGAGCGGGTTAGAGTTGGTCTTACCCAGCTGTGCCCACCTGGGCACTCAGTGAAGCACCAGAGCAGACGCTAGGGTTGGGGAGGTGGAGTTGCTGTAGTCTATAATGTGTGTTGTTAAAAAAAGAGCGAAAAAAGAAATCTTCATGAAAATTCACCAGCAGTTTCGTGCAAATTTCTCCTATTCAGTGTAGGTTTGAGTAATGTACACATTTTTGCAAGCAACCTCTAATTCCGTAATGCATTTCTATATGTTATCTTCACTAATATATTCTCATTTTATGCGCACTTTACCCTAATATGTGCATTTTAAATACTGTTCGGTGGGAGAGCTGCAGTGCAAAATTCAGGTTAGTGTGAATTTCAAAGGATAACCGTCTTTCTGTTCTCATTTTGCTTCAGGGAGTGCACATTTGAAAGATGCAACTTTGCATGTGAACTGAATTGATCTTAGCTCCCATCCATAAACAAGAGCTGTCCATAATATTTTGTATGAACTCTGCTATTAAAACCCTGCTGCTTCCGGTGCAAAATAGCTGGTTCCACAATCACCTTCCTTGACTGAGCTAAGACCTTGGTTTGGAACGCGTGTGTGTCTGTTGTGTGTGGGTGTTGGCAAGGAGGGGGTGCTTGACCCCATCCACCAATACAACCATTTATTTAATTGCCAATTTTTTGTTTTCGGGGGGTGGGGAGATAAAGGAACTCATTTTCTGCACAGGTGGAAAGGCAGCTTAGGCACTGGGGAAATAAGGTAAAGGTAAAGGGACCCCTGACCATTAGGTCCAGTAGTGACCCACTATTGGGTTGCAGTGCTCATCTCACTTTATTGGCCGAAGGAGCTGGCGTACAGTTTCCAGGTCATGTGGCCAGCATGACTAAGCTGCTTCTGGCAAACCATAGCAGTGCACGGAAATGCCGTTTACCTTCCCGCTGGAGGTAAACCTATTTATCTACTTGCACTTTGACATGCTTTCTAACTGCTAGGTTGGCAGGAGCAGGGACCGAGCAACGGGAGCTCACCCCGTTCAGGGGATTCGAACCGCTGACCTTCTGATCAGCAAGTCCTAGGCTGTGTGGTTTAACCCACAGCGCCACCCGCATCCCAACTGGGGAAATAGCAGGAAGGGAAAGGGTCAAGCAATCCCCTTCTCCTGCCATTTCCCCAACCCTGGTTTCAGCCTCCAAAACTGTTTTTCAGTGAAAAGAAAGGGAGAAAGGAAAGGGCACCATTCTCCCATCTCTGAAGTATCATCTACTTTGGCCCTCAGTAAGAACTGAAGTTAACAGAAGTTAAGGGTTTGTTAAAAGTAATTGTTTTTGCAAGCGGAGGTCTCGTTAAGTTCCCCTTCCGTTTCATCACCAGGTTGGTTTTGTCTGGTAAAGAGCCTGGAAGTGACTCCTTTAGCAACTTCAGGACACAGTCATGATTCCAGATGCATTGGTGAGATGCAAAAGAATGAAGGGGCCATTTTCAGCCGCTAGACTGTGTGGGCAGAGATGCGTAGGCAGGAGACTCTAAAGGAGATTTGTGCTGTGTGTTTACTCGTGTTCCACATTGACTCTATGGATGCAGAGCCCTCTATATATGCTTAATATCTCAGTCCTATCCAGCCATCTCGGGTATTAGCTTTGGTCTGAAGCTATTTCCATTAGCGTTATGAGCTGTTTGTTGATGTCGCCGCAACCTGTCGAGACTTTGGGGGATTTATTCTTCCTATTAGGGGTGGCTGGTGCGTATCCGTCTTGTGCCCTCATTACGTGGGCTATTTCAATTTGTTATGGCTCCATGTAAATGCAATTGAATTGTCACTGCTCGTTCAAGTTTCATTACCGTATCCATTCCTATTTTCCTCTGTGTTTTCTTTCCCAGAAACAATTAACTGCAGAACATGCCTGAGCCTAATCATCCCAAAATATTAATTACATAGCAGTAATCTCGGGAATCCCTTTCAGAGGAAAGAGGTGGCCGAACCCAGCTGTTAGCACAAGAACCCACACATACTTATTCTGGGGTACAGTGCCTAGACTGCTAGCTTTTTGTATTTGAGAGACTGAGTGTCATATCCCTGCTAGAAGTAGTGGATTGGGTACTATAGCACCCTGAGCGAGGACAAAATTTGGCACAGAAACTCAGTCCTCGCACTACCTTCCCAACAGTGGGTAAGAAGGTGCCAGGTTTTGGGAAGAAGACAGGATCTCTGAATCTCTGACAGTTTTGGTCTTCCTGGTTCCTGAGCTTTCCGGTCAGTTTTGCCTTTTTGGCCTAGTCCAACAGCTTCATTTGCCATTCTTCTCTGGTAGGGACTTTCTTTCCATCTCAAACCATGGTCCTTTCCTTCAGGAGTGCAAATACTCAAGTGTAGCCCAATTTCCAACCTCCACAGATTTGTTGTGCTGTTTTCTTTTTTAAAAAAGGAAGTACCGGTACATACTGTCTGTTAGGATATTGATGTTCCGTTCCACCTTAAAACAGATGTGTGGATTGTTGTATGTCACATGTCTGTTTACTTTCTAGCACTGCCTGCTGGGAACTTCTGTTTGTGTGTAGCTTTTGCTTATGCTGTTTGCTTGGACACGAAGGGAAGCAGACATGTTTTTCCTTTGTCCTGCTGCTGAATAAAATGCCTGTAAATATGCTTTGGGACATGAGTGGCACGGTGGGTTATACCACAGAGCCTAGGACTTGCTAATCAGAAGGTCGCGGTTCGAATCCCTGTGACGGGGTGAGCTCCCATTGCTCGGTCCCTGCTTCTGCCAACCTAGCAGTTCGAAAGCACATCAAAGTGCAAGTAGATAAATAGGTACTGCCCCGGCGGGAAGGTAAACGCCGTTTCCGTGTGCTGCTCTGGTTCGCCAGAAGCGGCTTAGTCATGCTGGCCACATGACCTGGAAGCTGTACACCAGCTCCCTCGGCCAATAAAGCGAGATGAGCGCCGCAACCCCAGAGTCGGTCACGACTGGTCCTAATGGTCAGGGGTCCCATTACCTTTTACCTTTTTAAAATACGCTTTACACAGCCTCTAATCTGCCCTTCTGTTGCGAAGAGTTCTTATCTCTGCTGAGTTGAATGCCCAGCTTCTGAAACTCCTGAAGCTCTGGGTCTCAGATTCATGCTGTTCCAAGGACCAGAGTTAGCCGGGCTGCTGGCCGGTGGGCTGGAGGCAGCTGGGGGCCTGCCAATTGCGCCCTTTTCCTTGGACGCATCCTAACAACTGTCATGCACCTTAAGCAATTTCTCATGGGTCTAGAAGACTGTGGGAATGAGAGTTTAACTCTATATTTTTTATGGGGGGCAGATTGCAGCTGAGAAGAGAAGTTAGAAAACTGCCCCCGCCCTATGAGCAAGAGTACTCCATGCTGCAACATTTTGCAGCAGCTCCCATTTTGTACAATGCATTGGTTCAAAGGATTCTAACCTTCCAATAAAGGAGCTGTCTTTCAGTGGAAAGTCTCCTTCCATTGGAGGAAGACTCCTTCCAACACAGGAAGGGAACCTTTGGATCTAACCCAGTATTTGCAACTTTCCTATTCAAGCACAGAGACCGCTGGGTGAACGAACGCTAAAAGTATTAATGGTACATCACACAACAAGCAAAGGCCATCACAAAGTGGTCAGAATGCAGTTCTGAAACAAGTGGCATCTGTATATTACTTCCAACGCCAAGTCATTATCACACCCCTTGATATTTCCCGTCATTAGTAATGATGCGATTCAATGGTGGGGAAAAATTAAAACCTGTCTTTTGGCTGGGAGCCTGGCTTAGCTCTCATCCTCCTTTGAGATCTTTAGCCAAAATGGGCTGTTTTGGCATGGAAGCCAAGACAAAAAGATATATATCGGTTCTTACTAGAAACATGAATGACTACAAGAAAGATGTGACTCTGGCATGCAGGAGTAAAGCAACATTGGACGGGAACCGATTCTCATAGATATCAATGTCAGAAATCTACTGCCTCTTGCGATGAAAAACTAGGGATGGCGGCACATAAAACTGATGGATTCCTCAACCCAGATTCCATGGGGAAATTTAGCATACAGGCCTCTGGAATTGAAAGGCAGAGCCAATTTCCTGAATACACACACCCCAACTATGAAATAGAGGGCCAAATCAACAGCCCTTTTGCTATGTGTCAAAGTCTGTTTGATTTACTCTGTTATTTTGACATGTTGAATTAGTCTAGCGAATGCTCTAATACTTGCCCAGATTGCAGCTCCCACTGCGAGCCCAGCTGCCCATTAAGAGTAGCAGAAGAGGTATTATTTAGAACAGGGCTGTGCTAAAGATTTGCCAGGTTGGATTCGTGAGTGAAAATAAGAGATTTGAGTGAGGCGAAAAGTTTTCCACACACACCCCATTAAGTTTGGCCAAATATTTATTGATTTTTTGTTGCATTTAGATCCCACCTCCTCCTCTTCCAAGGGGTAGAAGGTGGTGTACGTGGCGCTCTCCCTTCTCATTCAATTAAACCAGTGCTTCCCAAACTTGGGTCTCCAGCTGTTTTTGGACTACAACTCCCATCATCCTTAGCTAGCAGGATCAGTGGTCAGGGATGATGGAAAATTTAGTTCAAAAACAGCTGGCACTCCACTTTGGTTGCCTTTTTTTTAACTTTGCCCTGATCACTGAAGAATGGATGCTTTTGAATTATGGTGCTGGAGGAGACTCTTGAGAGTCCCATGGACTGCAAGAAGATCAAACGCATCCATTCTTAAGGAAATCAGCCCTGAGTGCTCACTGGAAGGACATATCGTGAAGTTGAGGCTCCAATACTTTGGCCACCTCATGAGAAGAGAAGACTCCCTGGAAAAGACCCTGATGTTGGGAAAGATGGAGGGCACCAGGAGAAGGGGACCACAGAGGACGAGATGGTTGGACAGTGTTCTCGAAGCTACCAGCATGAGTTTGACCAAGCTGCGGGAGGCAGTGGAAGACAGGAGTGCCTGGCGTGCTCTGGTCCATGGGGTCACGAAGAGTTGGACACGACTAAACGACTAAACAACAACAACAACACAATATCCATTTTTTGATTTGACATGACCAGAACTGTCCACAGTATTCCAGTTACATAGTTATATAGACTATAGATTTTCAGTGCTATTTTTCTAGAACACCTGCTGGGGTGGTGTAGTGATTAAGAGCAGTAGATTCATAATTTGGGGAACCGGGTTGGCGTCTCCGCTCCTTCACATGCAGCTGCTGGGTGACCTTGGGCTAGTCACACTTCTCTGAAGTCTCTCAGCCCCACTCACCTCACAGAGTGTTTGTTGTGGGGGAGGAAGGGAAAGGAGAATGTTAGCCGCTTTGAGACTCCTTCGGGTTGTGATAAAGCGGGATATCAAATCCAAACTCTTCTTCTTCTCTTATAATGGCAATGGCGACCACCTGAGAGGTGCCAGAACTTGAGTTCCGGTGACTTTGGGCTGGAAGAAAAGCTCTAGATTTATTTAATGACATTATGAGATTGGCATTTTTGTTTTCAATTCCTGTATGGCGAGCCTTCCCGCAATATATTACCTTCCAAAGTTTCCCTGAATGTCTGGTCCCTTTTGCCAAGCGACAAGCCTCTAAGCCATCATGGGATAATTCACATTCCAATGTGCGTTGGCGAGATGTGGAGAGTAAAAGGGCAATTTCTGCTGGCTAAATAATGTGGGCAGAGATGTGTAGGAGCTGACTCAGAAGGGGATTTGTCCTGAGTGCTTACCTGCTTTATTTGCTGGATTGGTTTATATATATAAAGATGACACAAGTCCTTGGGTATTTAGTCCACTGCCAACACAAAGCAGGAAAGAAAAGAGGGGTTAAAGGGGGATTTGCTCCTGGCGCATGCGATGAATCCACAATGTGCCTCTTCCATTTGGCAAATGGTGCTGGCCAAGCTGGAAACAGCATCACTTAGTGTTCCAGCAATCCCTTTCCCTCTGTACGAATGCTAGAACTCAGGGCCATCTAGTGAAGTCAAACATTGGAAATTTCAGGATGGACAAAAGGAAGTACATCTTCAAACACTGCCCAGTTTAACTATGGAATTTGCTCCAACCATACGCAGCGGATGGACACCAGCTTGGAAGACTTTACAACAGGATTAGACAACCTCATGGCTGTCAACAGCTGCAAGACGCAGTGGTAATGTCCCACCAACTCCACTTCTGAAAGTAGTGTGCCTCTGAATACCCGTTGCTGGGAATCACAGGAGGGGAGACTGCTGTTGTGCTCAGGTCTTGTTCGTGGGCTTCCCACAGGAATCTGGTTGGCCATTGTGAAAACAGGGCACTGGACTAGATGGGCCTTTGGCTTCATCCATGCATGGCATGCCCAAGGACATACAGAAAACTCCACCTTTCCAAGCCTGTATGGGGCCCTCCCCACCTCTGGTAAAACATACAAAAGTGGCTAGGAGATCCCCATCTAGTCCGAGAAGGGTGCAAGTTTCAGAGAAGCTCTGATGATGTCATTGAAAGAGGAACTGGTCAGAAGGTATGGTCTGAAGGGACATAGAGGTATCTTGCTGAAGCCATGCAGCTCTGAACTTTGCCAATGTGCTGCCTAGGAACCACATGTATTCTGTCTTGGGTTCCATGGTTGAAGACTAAGATAGATAGATAGATGATAGATAGATAGATAGATAGATAGATAGTCTGACTATCAGGGACTGGGCAGAGGAGGAATGGTGGAGACCGCCTCCCCATCCTGACCCTTCCAGGGAGGAGAAAGAGGAAGACAGTATACTGTAGATTTACAACAGGGGTTTGAGGGAGGTAGGAGCTCAGAGGCAGATATGGGGAAAAGCTGGGAAATCATGGGACAGCCGGAACAACACCCGGCTGACACATTGTCATTAGAAAGCATTCCAGACCACCCATCTCCCAGAACCTGGCGAGCCTTGAAAGTAGGAGAGAAAAGAGCTCAAAGACAGAGGGCACTTAGCAGCAGCACCCGTAGAGGAGGTGATGATGATGATGAATGAGGAAGTGGGAGAGACGGGGGGTGGGGTGGAGATTCACTCAGGACAATACCATTATCCAAGAGGCTGGGTGCTATAGCCTCGGTCTGTAAAGTTTGAAATAAAAAAGGACGGTAAGAAACTTTCCCTTGTCTTTATACTTTCCTGGGCAACCAGCTGGGAGCCGCTGACAGCAAACTGACACTGACAGACATATATCTTGCTGCTTCATAACCGATTCATTTTTTTTAACACACACACACACACATATTTTGGATATCCACTAGTTTGGATAGAGTGGGTACAGTGCTGGGGATAGAGTGCCATTACTAGTTAGTTCTCATTCTTAATGAGGGCAGATTCCAAGAAAACTAACACTAAATAGCTTGTATTTCCTCAGCACTTGGAATCAAATGGCTTAAACAAACCATGGGTTGGTTTTCAAAAGGTGGGTTGGTGGAACAAGGGAGAAAATACACTACAAAAAATTATGCATGTTTAGGGGAGAAGTTATTAAGGTGATATTCCATACGTGTCTTCTTTCAGCTATACAATCAGTAGGAACGGGTGAATTGATGTGATTGGTCATGCTAGTACAAATTGAGGGGCATGTTTGATGGAGGAAGAAATCAATATCTAATTATACATGATGTTAATTTAATAATACCTGAAGCCTGAAGCCTTACTTCAAGCGCTGGAGCACAGCAGCCTGGGGGTGTGTGTTAAACCTCTCAAATTTGTGGCACTTACAGAAGAGGCTGGAATCTCACATTAGGCAAGCACCACCATAGTCAATCTATCCACAAAGAATGATTGAAAAGTGTGGTTGGAACATCGGGGCCCGATAAGTGATATATGCAGAAAGCTCAGGTAAAAAGC